GGGGTGTTGAAAAATGTCAAGGATTTTTGTTGTGCATGAAAAATGAGCGTTTCGCTTGAGACATCCTCGAAAAAATGAGATGCCGACAGAGGTGTTTTACAACCTCTGATGTTAAAAATGACGTTTTCGCTAGGGACGTCCTCAGAAAATGAGCAGGAGCACGGCAGGCGGAAAAAAAGGAGCACGGCAGACCACACAAGAGCACGGCAGACCCCACAAGAGCACGGCAGACCCCACAGGAGCACGGCAGACCCCACAGGAGCACGGCAGAGCAGACCCAAAAGGAGCACGGCAGACCACACAGGAGCAAGGCAAACCACAGGAGCACGGCAGACCACACAGGAGCACGGCAGACCCCACAGTAGCAAGGCAGACCCCAAAGGAGCACGGCAGACCACCGGAGCACGGCAGACCACACAGGAGTACGGCAGACCCCACATGAGCACGGCAAATCCCAAATGAGCACGGCAGACCACAAGAGCACGGCAGACCACACAGGAGCACGGCAGACTCCACAGGAGCACGGCAGACCACAAAGGAGCACGGCAGACCACACAGGAGCCCGGCAGACGCCACAGGAGCACGGCAGACGCCACAGGAGCACGGCGGAACCCACAGGAGCACGGCAGACCGCGCGCGGGTACAACATAAACGCGCCTTTTTGTTGTACCCCGAACGCCGCTGGCGTTTCCCCCACAGGAGCACGGCAGATCTCACAGGCGCGCGGCAGACCCCAAATGAGCACGGCCGACCACAGGAGCACGGCAGACCCCAAATGAGTACGGCAGACCCCAAAGGAGCACCGTAGACGCCTCAGGAGCACGGCTGACCACACAGGAGCACGGCAGACCACACAGGAGCGCGGCAAACCACAAAGGAGCAAGGCAGACCCCAAATGAGCACGGCAGTCCACACGTTCGCACGGCAGACCGCACGCTCGCGGAGGGCCTCCGAACGGCCCAAGAGAAACCCCGAAGGCCCCCCAGAGGACCCCCAAAGCGCCCCAAGAGACCCCCAAGAGCCCCCGGCCCCCAAGACGACCCACGGTGCCGCCAGGACGGCCCAGGATGTCCTCAGGACGGCCTCGAGACGGCCTCCAGACGAACTCGAGGATGACGGGAAGCGCCTCCGGCGTGCACCGTTGGTTCTGGGGCTTCATTTTCTCTAACTAAGGGGTACGGGCCCGCACTTCGGAACTCGCTGGCGGCGGCCTGCGGCAGCAGAGGGACGCGGGCACCCCGAGCCAGCCGGCACGGGTCCTCCTGGTCGTTGTCGTTGTCGTCGTCGTCGTCGTCGTCGTCGTCGTCGTGGTCGTCGTCGTCGTCGTCGTCGTCGTCGTCTTCGTCGTCGTCTTCGTCAATGACGATCTCGAAAATTACGACAAAAAACGATGACAGAAAACGACCACAAACATAACACAAAAACCAACCGAACACGGAATCCAACAACAAAAAAGCAATCAGAAAAAATTACCGCAATCATAAAATGATAACGACGGCGACAGCGAGAACGGCAACAGCGGACGATTATAATGAAAACGACGACCACGACAAAGGAAAGGCACGCGACGACGACGACGGACAAACAAAAGACAAGACAGGCTGGAACAGAACAAGTAGGCTGGGCGACAACGGGTGAGGGCCCGCGTTTGCCGAGAGAAAAGCACGGTGTCGACGCCATGATGTGGCCAGGGCAGCAGACTATCTCGACAGACCAGCGCGGCAGGCCATCATTTAGTCTGTTCTGTTGCGTTTATGGGTTTCTCTGACGTTCTCGCCAATACGGTCTCTGACGCACGTGGTGGATAAAAAACGGCGCTTCCCGTTCTTGTCCGGTCAGGTTCCGGATTCCGGAAAATTGCGGAAAAATTGCCGTTTCGCTCGAGACATCCTCGAAAAATCGGCTCCGGAGGGGACTCCGAACGAGCATTGTCTTCGAGTCGCTCCTGGAGGGCTTCAAAACGGCCCCAAAGAGCCCTCAAAGGCCCCGACACGGCCCAAAAGGGCCCCGAAACGGCCCGAGAGGACCCCAAAACAGCCCCAAGAGAGCCCCAGGAGAGCCCCAAGAGCCACCCAAGAGGGCCCCAAGAGGCCGCCAAGAGAGCCCCAAGACGGCCAAAGGCGTCCAAGAGTCTGCAACACGGCCCAACAGGGCCCCAAGACGGCCCAAGAGGGCCCCGAGACGGTCCAAGAGGGCCCCCAAAGAGCCCCAAAAGGACCACCAAGAAGGCCCATAGACGCCACATGATAGAGCGATCGGTAACGCAAAAAGCTCTCCACACCAAGGCTCCCAAGAGCGACCAGTGACGTGACAAGCTCGTGACATCAAGGCTCCGACGAGCGAACGGTGACGTGAACAATTCTCGACACCAGGGCTCGCAGAGCGAGCGGCAACGTAAAAAGCGCTTCACACCAAGGCTCCGAAGACACGCCCTCCAGGGACCAAGTTGGCGGCTTTTTCGGCCCAGGACGGCTCCAGAGACCTCCACGACGGCCCCGGAGCGCTCCAAGAGGTGACGGGAAGCGCCTCCGACGTGCACCGTTGGTTCAGGGGCTTAATTTTCTCTAACTAAGGGGTACCGATCGCATCCCGCACCTCGCTGGCGGTTTCCGGAAAATTGCAGAAAAATTGTCATTCCGCTCAAAAAATCTGACCAAGACGCGCCCAAGACGGCCACCAGGGCTCCAAGACGGCCCAAGAGCGCTCCAAGACAGCCCTAGAGCGTTCCAAGATGCCCTAAGATGGCTTCCGGACGGTCCAAGAGAGCTCCAAGACGGCCCAGGAGGCCCTCAAGAGGCCTCCAAGACGCCTCAAGAGGCTTCGAAGAGGCCTCACAAGAGCGCCAAAGAGGCACAAATCTATGATTTTTGAATAGTTTTTGAAGGTTTTTGGGGTTCTCGCCTTTTCCGTTTCCCGACGCTCCAAGACGGCCCAAGAGGCCCCCAAGATCGCCCCAAGACGGCCCAAGAGGCCCCCAATATCGCTTCAAGACGGCCCAAGAGGCCCCCAAGACGGCCCCAAGAAGGCACCAGAAGGCCCCGAGGCGGCCCCAAGACGGCCCCAAGAGGCTTCGCGGCGGCCCAAGAGGCCGTCAATATGGCTCCTAGAGGGGGCACAGACGAGGTACACGAACGGACTTTTCGGGTCCTCGGCCCCAAGTGCCCCCCCGGAGGGTCCAGGAGGCCCCCGGGAGCCCCCCAAGACGCTCCAAGAGGCCCCCAAGAGGCCCCAAAAAGGCCCCCAATATGCCCCCAAGACGGCCCCACAAAACGGCCCCCAAGAGGCTTCAGAATTGCTTCTAAGAGGCCTACGAGAGACCGACCACGACATCCCAAGGCTCCATTACGAACGATGACGTGGGCAGCTTCGAACGCCAGAGCTCCCAGTACGAACGCTGGCGTCCAGAGCTTTGACGACAAACACTGCTATGAGCAAAAACGGCGCTTCCCGTTCTTGTGCGGTCAGGTTTCTGAAAAATGGCAGTTTCGCTCGAGACGTCCTCCAAAAATGGGCCCAAGAGGGGACTCCGCATCGACGTCGTGTTCGAATCGCTCTTGGAGGGCTTTCCAACGGCCCAAGGGAGGCCCAAAAGACGCCCCGGAGAGCCCCAGGAGCGCCCAAGAGCGCCCCAAGACGACCCCAAGAGACCCCCAAGAGTGCTTCAGGAGCCACCCAGACAGCTCACAAGAACCCCAAGACGGCCCGAGAAGGGCCAAGAAGGCCCCAAGAGACTCACGGGAGCGCCCCAGGAGGCCCCCAGCGCCGAGACGGCCTAAGAAAGCTCCCACAGAACCCCACGACGCGCCCAGACAGCCCAAGAATACCGCAAAAGCCCATAAGAGGACCCAAGGGGCCCCCAAGAAGCCCCCAGCAGGCCCCAAGAGAACCCCGCGCGGCGCCAGGAGCAACGTTTTTTTTCCAATTGCCTCGTACTGTCCTCTGTCGTCGTCGTCATCGTCGTCATCATCGCCCTCCGCATTCCTCCTCGTGCTCGCCCTCGTTCTCTTCGTCCTCGTCCTTGTGCTTTTCTTTCTCCTCGTTGTCCTCATGCTCCTCCTCGCTATCCTCACGTTCGCCACGTCATCGTCGTCATCGACTCCTCGTTGTCCTCGCCTTCCTTTTCTTCTTCGCCCAATACGCCCATTAGACTACAGCGGCGCTTCCCGTTCTTGTCCGATCAGGTTTTTGCATGCCGTCTGAGCCCGCAACGACCTCTTCAAGCCCCGTGCATCCACACCAGCCCGCCCAGCAACTTTGCCCTGGCGAGTTGCCTTGGTCAGAGAAGTCGGGGAGCATAAAGTGGAAAAAGGATTGCGTTGCCGTTATCTTGGGAAAGGAGGGGGAGGCAGGAGGAGTAAACCGGGGACGAGGAGGGCGCGAAAGAAGAGAGGATGTAAGGAGAATGTGGAGAAAGAGGAGGAGGAGGAGAAGGAGGAGAAGGAGGAGGAGGACGAGGAGGGGGAGGAGGGGGAGGAGGGGGAGGAGCAGGACGAGGAGGGGGAGGAGGGGGAGCAGGGGGAGGAGGATGATGATGGACGACGATGGGAGGACGATGATGGAGGCCGATGAGGGTGTGGACGACAATGGGAGGACGATGATGGAAGGACGAGGGGGGAAGAGGGAGGACGAGGAAGAAGAGCAGGAGGAGGACGAGGTGGAGGAGGAGGATGACGATGACGATGACGACGAGGACGAGGACGAGGGAGAGGAGGAGGAGGAGGAGGACGAGGAGGAGGAGGAGGAGGAGGATGAGGAGGAGGAGAGCGTCATGGACAGGGAAGGTGGGGGCCACGAGGTCCGCCAGCTCGACGACGCCCGCGTCGCCCGCGCCCGCCCCCTCACTCTTATCCGCAATTGCCGGGTGCTACGTATGTGTATACCGATACCGCTATGCGTCCGTCGCCACCATGGCTGGATTCACCTCGAAGTCCTGGTCAGAACGCACCCTTGGTGACGTCCAGGGAGTGGCGGTTTCTGTATTTGTTTGTCCCTTCAGCCAGGACCGGATCTTCTTCCAGCGCGCCGTGTCGCGGTTCCAGCAGGCGGCCGAGCAGTCTTCGCAAATTGCGACCGTGGGTTGGTTTTGGAACTTGTGATGTTCCTCAACCCGAGTGATTGTCCTCATCCTGGTCGTCTTCTTCCTTCTCCTCCTCCATTCCATTTCTTTTCCTCCCAGTTGCACACCGAGGCCAGCGGAAAGGGTGGGCTGGGCGTTTCGCCCGAGCCTTCCTCACCATTTATGATCCTGAAGCTTGACATGTGCAACACCTTCACGGATGGAGGGCGGGTGGTTTTCAATTATTGCTCTTGTCTTGGCGCCGCGCACATGCGTCTTCACAGTTCGCAGAAGAGTTTAGTAGAAGGAGGGCGGGTCGTTTTCAAAATGTGGCTCCCGCCTTGGCGCCGCGCACAGTCGTTCGAAAGGTTGCAAGATTTTCACAGATGGAGGGCGGGTCGTGTTCAAAATGTGGCTCCCGCGCCAGCAACGCGTACACTCGTCTTAAACATTGGAAACAGCTTCACGGATGGAGGGCGGTTCTTTTTCGAAATGTGGATCTCGCCTCTGCGCCGCACATTTTCGTTTTAAGATTTAGCAGCAGTTTCAAGGACTCTCATGTTGAACACTCCTGGAGTGATGACATTTGCAAGATGTCGGATGGCCAGGGCGAAGCAATTACGTTGATATTCGTGTTGAAGGACCAGAAGCGGCGTTCTGGCACGGTTCTGGACCGTCAAGACGCAACAGTAATGGTAATTCGCGGCGTTGAAGTCCCACGAGTGGTGTTCTAGCATAATGCAGGATTGAACGAAAATGGTTGTCTTCCAACGGGGCACTTCCCTCCATGAAGATGAATCTTTGTAGGGGGCTATGAAGAGCGAGTTCGGAGGGAGGGTTTATTGCAGTATCGTTGATGAGTCTTGCGTTTACGCTGATCCTCCTCCTAGGTTGAGGAGGACAGAGGTCAGGTTGAGGAGGCAGTGGCAGAGGAGGAAACTGAGAGCTCAGCACCCGGGTGGGAGAAGGCACAGGGAAGGACAAGGAGGCGGCAACCAGGTGGGGAGGACTTTGGTAGGACTCAATGGGAAGGCGGAGGAGGACGTCACGAAGTGGGGGAACATGCTGGTGGAGTATTGTAAACATAAATACCACGATCCAGACGAATCTCAGGAATGTCAGCTTGCACGCGTGCAAGCGCTCCTGTTGGTGGCCGAGGAGAGGCGCGCCGCGTGCTCCCGGACAGCAAGTCAGGCATACTCGGTGCATCACGTTATGCACGCACGCAGTCGCATGAAGATGGGGAGGGCTGGAGGTAGCGATATGGTGGTGGGGGAGATGATCACGAACCTAGGTCTGGAGAGTGTTTATTACATGTTTCGGCTTTTCCGGGAACGACTTGAACGGGGAGGGGAAACCGTGGAGTCTTGGAGGTATCTGACGATGGTGTTTTTGGCAAAGCAAAGAGACGCCACTGACCTGACGAAACACTTTCGCGGGATCACGCTGCTCTCGATCATGCTCAAGTGGTACGTCGCGTCTTTGACCCTCCTCTTGGAGGATTTCCCAAAACCACCGGCATACCGTTCGCTATGCGTTCTCGGGTTTGAGCCGGGCCTCTCCTGCAACCAAATCACGGCGCCGGTGTCTCTCCTGCTGGCGAAGGCGTGGGAATGGCCCGATGAAGCGAGGTTCTGCGTTTTCGTGGGCGATGTCTATCAGGCGTTCGACAATCTTCGTGGGACGGAAGTATGTGCATCCATGGCCAAGCGCCATGCCCCCGCTGATCTGACGGCCGCCCTGATGAGGGAAAACGTGGGTTGTAAGTTGGAAGCGGTGTTCCAAGGGGTCCCTTCTAGCACGTCGGTCGATTTCAACAAGTGTGAACGGCAAGGCTCTACAGATGCCCCCGCCAAATGGAATACCGTCATGGCCGACGTCTTGGGCGAGTGCCACGTGCTGTACCGGGAGGCGAATTTGGGATTGAAGTTGAATTCTCGTACGTATACACATCTTCTGTGGTGTGACAATGTGTATTTGCTAGGACGTGATCATCATCAAATACAGTGGATGGCAAATCTGCTCACCGGTGCCCTGGCCAAGAGGCGCCTCAGCTGGAAACCATCCTCGCTAGAATTCCTGAGTACCGCATCCTCGGCACCCGCATCCTTCTGCATTCGTGGGCCGGACCCAACGTACACGGAAACCGGACCCAAAACTTTACCGCAGCCTCGGCACCCATTTCGGAACTTGGAAGTGAGGCGTTGCTCATCATCGCTCCAGCTTGGCACAATCATCGACGAGAAGGGGGGGGCATGGGAAGATATTTATCGGAGGGTGGAGAGGGCAAGGAATGCGTTCTGGGGGGAGCCACTTTTGCGTCAGAAGATTTTGCCATTGGTGGAAAGATTGAAACGCTACGCAGAGTATGTGGTTCCTATCTTAACGTATGGGTGTGAGGGATGGGCCATGACCTACGGCATGTTAGTTTACGTATCTAAAGTGGAAGGCGGATTCTTGGGACGTATTGGAAGGACAAGGGGAAGGAGGGAGGGGGAAACGATGGCAGACTACATGCAGTCCACAACCCGGCAGATGAAGAAACTGTATGTTCAGCAAGGGCATTCTCTCGTGTGTGAGCGCATACTTCGGTTACGGCATCGCTTTGCTCGTCTTGTTCTGTCCCCGGACGGTCCGGCAGAGGGCGCTGTGGCAGACGGCCACGTAACTTGGATGACTAACGCGTTCCTGAAGGACGTTTACACGCACCTCACAGAGTCGCACTGGCAGGACTACAAGGAATTCATGATACAGCACAGGCACAAGAGGGCACGGGTGGAGGGGAAGAAGTATTCCGAAATTGCTCACAGCGAACATCCCTGGCAGCACCGGCCTGGGTGGAAGAGAATCGCACAATGGGAAGATTTTTGGATCTCTGTGATCGGCCGGGATTGGAGAACACACGTCGTCGATGGTGGAGTGTGGAAGGGGATGGAGGAGAATTTCGTTTCGGAGGTCATGGCGAAGGCCGGCTTATCTCGTCGTCGTATTTTGCGCGTACGTGCACGGGGGAGGGAGGCACGGGATCATCAACGAATGCATGAACGTGCGCGCGCAGTACAGCCACCGGCCGAGCTTCGCGAACGGCCTCGGGACCCTTCTTCTTTGAAGCTGGAGATCCGAGGCGACAACGACAATGTCGTGCATTGGCTCAACGGTACTTGGCAATGTACGAATAGTCGATTACTAGGTCCTCTTCGTCGGGCACGGGAACGTCTTTACTCATCCTTCTGTAATGGATTCAGACCGGTAGAGGAGGGAGGGGATTTTGCACGACACGTTTACCGGGAGTTCAACAAGGAGGCAGATGCCATGGCGACCCGGGCAATCCATGTACCAGAAGCTTTTGGAGAAAACGTACCGGTCCCCAGGGAGGTTTTCTTCGACCCGGATGTCAAAATGGTAGGATCTTTTGACGGAGGAAGGCGGTCTGAAGGAGTGGGGGCGGGATGGGTGGTGGAGTTCGTGACAGGCGCTGGCACACCCCACCGGTGGCGTGCACGATCGATACCCCTGGACCCGAAAGCGACCACAACAACTGCTGAGAAGACGGCTGCTGCAGATCTGTGTGATTTCCTTTTCCAATTTAGTATTGTGATTGCGAACCCTAGCATGTGTGATACCGTGCGCATTAGTGAAGCCGTGGAGAGGAAGTCGTCAAAGCGTCGGCGCATTTTCCTCGACAGGCTGAGGTAGCCCGCAGGAACACAGGTAGGGGCGAGCTGGATGCTGCTCAGAAGGCCCTGAAAGGACCAAAGGACCTCCTGCTCGTCCTTCTCTCCCTCCTCGCGGCGTCAGAAAGGCATTCTCAACGATTCTCCGCGTTTTCGTCGATTCTTCGCGGATTTTTCAGCCTCGGGATGCCGTCCAGCGGCTGCTTGCGCCTTGCACAGAAAGTTTCAGGGGTGCCCTCATCGTCCCGAACGGCCGCCGGAGAGCCGAGAATTTTGACCCGAAAACCAGGAGGCTCCGATATGGGCATCGAGTCGTGCTGTCACTTACTGTCACTTAATTTTGCGCAGGAGGGGGCGAACCAAAGAAATCAGCTGTTTTTCAAATTCAAGCCAGAGATTCTGTCAAATTCGATAGAAACGCGTATTCCAGAATTTGAAACCAAAGATTCGGCCAAGTTCGATAGAAGCAGTTGTTCTAGAATTTCAAACCAATCGATTGGGAATTTCAAACCAGAGGTTCGGCCACATCCGAATCGGATGTGGCCGAATCTCTCTCTCATTATATTTCTCCCCTCATCTATCCTCCTCAGCTGGTGCCTGCCGAGGAGGAGGAGGAGGAGGAGGAGGAGGAGGAGGGTACCAGAGGAGAAGAAGAAAGATAGGAAGGAGGAGAAGGAGAAGGAGGGAGGAGTGGGGAGGGGGTGCAAGGCCAGATTGGTGGCCTATCACAGGTCATAGGAGGAGAAAGGTAATGGGCACAGAAGCCAAGCGTGTCCAGAGTCCAGGGTCCAGAGTCCAGAGGGCGGGGACAGGAGGAGGCGACGGAGACCGAGCCGAGAGACCCAGTGGAGAGCCGTTCAGTGTTCACGTGTCCCCATTCCCCCTAAGCAGGACGTACAAGAACATGAAACGGAAGATGGCGTACAAAGTTTGCAACATCGCCTATGTGCCTAGCTTTGGTTTGGGCGACGCGACTCCGTGCTTGTTTAAAACAGATTTGATGATACCAGCAGTTTCGCGAATGTTCGAGCACTTCTACCATGTCGAGCCCGACGCGACCAGTTAGCACCTGGAACCCGCTTCGTGTCGCGATTGGTCCAGATTCGCATGGTGTAAGGTCGAGATGTCCAGTTCGCATCACATCGAGACGAAGTCACGTTTGCTGCAGACCAGGCGGTTATCACATGGTTCGGCATCGGAAGGGGCACTTCGATAGCGTTTGCGCTGTTTGCCATTGGATACTCATCGAAAGGCTTTGCTTCATGTTGGCTTGGTTTCGTCCGATGCTGTTTACGGTGTTTTGATGTGTGCCGACCTGGTTCGAAACGAATACTTTTGCTAACTGTTATTCGACATCGATGATTTTGGAGCGATGTGCATGTGTTTGGCGATCTTGGTCACCAGAGGGCCTCCAAGGGGGTAGCTCGCATTGAAAACATACCATGTTGGTTAAAGTGCATGCGTTTCGTCCGACTTTCACCCGAGCCATGCGGTTTTAGTCGGGTCGTGGCTGTCGATGCTGATTCCACGGCTACACCACCAACGATATGCGCAACGTTGCAATCGGACGTGATTGTAACGCGTAATGTGTTGCTTCGTCTCACAGGTAACGCAGGAGACGCCCAGAAACCACATGAGGCAACTTGATGGCGCGCAGGTTGCCTGTGAGAGCCTGTGAAAGGGGGAAACGCAAACACTTACCAGGTCCTGGGGCAACCTATCTTGGGGCCCGTCTGTGCTCTCCTCTCCTCCGTTGTTTCTCTCTACCGCGTTGCAGACTGTGGCCGTTGTCATCCGTAGCCTTGGGGGCCCGAGCGTTTCGAGGTACAACTCCACCGTGACCTCAGGGGCTCCCCCAGCTTTCTGCATGTCGCTGCAGGTCCCAGGGATCCCTGCGAACTTCAGCCCGACAGGTACCTCACGCTTCGTGGGCCGATCGGCATCGATGCTGACACGGGCCACGGGTCTGTCTCCGCCGCCACCGCAACCGTGCCCGAGTCCGACAGCCGTCTGGGCCCGCCCCCAGGCCACCATAAGAGGCAAGTAGTGATGACGGCGGCGGAGGAGGAGGAGGATTTGGTTTGCTCTCTCTTTCTCTCTGTCTCTCTCTCTCTCTCTTGTTTCCTCTCTCTCTCTCTCCTCTCACCCTCCCACCCCTTCTCAGACTCCCACAATCCATCAGTAGTGCAGGTTTCTCCAAGATCCACGCGCTAATTGATTTCAGCTAGCCTGAATTTCAGAATCGGGCCGGGACTTGACCTCCCCCAAACTGACCAGGCGGGTACGCATGGTTCCCTACAGCACAGATTCGGCCTGACGGATGGACTCACGCGAGTTGGTCTGATCCATTTCATTGAAGTAGCTCCTGGCACACATCTGGGCCTGCTCACATCAAAAAGCGCGCAGATCCTGGAGCGGGGCCGGATCGTCTCCACAAACCATGGTAGCAGGAGTTTAGTCGATAGGGCGATCGGTTCAGGGGGGGGCGACGCATGGACCCCAAAGACGCTCATTGTTTGCCGATTGTGGCCCTGATAGCCCACTCCGCCCAGGACGGTGCGGATTCGCTATCGAGGGCATATCGCTGGTCTATCGGCGACGTAGATCCGATACCAGCTCTATGCCTCCCCCCACCCCGAGACTGTCCCCCCCTAACGTTGCCGCTAGCCCCCTCTCCGCCCGTTTCGCCCTCGGCCGCTCGTCGTTCGTCCGCTTCCTGCGCCTGTTCCCGCCGCGCTCTCCTTGCTTCCTTTCAACACATCTCCTGACTCGGCGGCGATTGTAAGAACTTCTCTCGCGAACCGCTCTCCAAGGAGTCGAGCTTGCTGCTAGGCAGGCAGGACCGCACATTGTTGCCGCCGCTGCTCAAGTGCCACTGATGTCCTTTGTGCGTGGCAGCGACAGCAGTGGCAGCAGTGGCAGCAGCAGTTCCAGCACGCTGCACCTCCCGCCTCGCTCTCCCTGCCCTCCCTCCGTGCTCGGACCGCCAGGTGGTGGCGTCGTCCGAGAGGAAGTTGCTCGTCCTGGCCGTCCCCGTCACCAAGATGGACCCGCTGCCGCGGGATCGGGGCAGCACGCCTTGGGATATGGGCGTCGCACTGGTCTTCGCGCCTGGGCGTCTTCTCCCGGCCTCGGGCCCCGGGGGCCCGCGCGGATCGCTGTCTGCTCGGGACGTGCCGCAGAAAGGTGTCTCGCGATGCTGCAGGTGTCTGCGACATCGGATCTCAGCGGGGCAGCTGGAGACAAAGCCAGGCAGCACCTGCTGCTGCTGCTGCTGCTGCTGCGGCTGCTGCTGCTGCTGCTGCTGCTCCTCCTCCTCCTTGAGGTTTGAACCTTTCTGGCTCTGTTTGGCCCTCCTGAAGGTTTCTGGGGACCATCGGAGACGTCCAGAGAACTCCGCGAAGATCTGCAGCTGCCTTCTAGTTAGGGCACAGTCGTTTATCAAGGCCCATGCGCGGCCATACGTCCTGGAGTTGTTTGCCACAGGTCGCCGCCGTTGTTTTCCGCTTGGACGCCCGAGGTTCTTGCGTTCTTGCGCTGGTTCCTTACTTACTGCTGATTCTGACCGTACTGTACAGGGCAGGGGGGGATGGATGGGAAGGGGGTAGGGGCGGGGCGGGGAGGCGAGAGCCAGCGGGGGGAGGTTGCTTCCTCCTCTTCGCTTCTTTGTGTCGCGTAGGCGTAGGCGCTGTTTTCCTGTGCCGCGCCTGCTGTTTGGGTGCCCCCTAGTGTCCATCGAGCCGCGCCTCGGCCGTGGCGTCCCTCGCTCGCTGCCTGGCCTCTGGGGGTCTGAGATCGCCCGGCACGGGTACGGGCCAGCAGGAAGAGCAGGCAGGGTTGAGTGTTCTGGATCCGAAATTGTTTTTACATTTGTTGGCCTCTGGGGGCCGTTTTTTGGCCCCGGGACCGTCAAACATTGATCCAGGATGACTAAGCCAGATGGACCCCATAAGGGGCCCGAGGACCGATTTTGAGTGGACTTGGCTTCATCCCCCCTCATGGCTAATTCTCTGGGGTCCAATCCAGTTCAGATTCGCCGACCGCCTCCCAGAGCGGCTTGGCTCCCCTGCGAGGGGGCCTGGCTGAGGCGAGAAGCCTGCGCGAGGCAGGGCCGCCCCCTCTCCTGCGCGTTCCCCTCACGTGCGGGGGCCGCCTCCCCGCAGCTGCCCCATGCGTAGCAGGCCACCATCATGTGGTCCTCCCCTCCCACCACTTCGCTCCCGTCTCTCGCCCCTCCGCCCCTCCCTGTGGCAGGCTGTCAACGCCCTTCCCCGTCGCTGCCACTGGGTATTGACGAGGGGGGCAGGGAGGAGGAGGAGGAGGAGGAGGAGGAGGAGGAGGAGGAGGAGGACACTGGCCGAGGGTGAGAACCGAGCAGGGACGGTGTGTCCAGCGAGGGCCCCGCTCTGGTAGAGCCGCACCCCCATCCGTGTAAGTGGTACATGCTGTTGCACTTCTGGCCAATCTGTTCGTGGGAGTGCGAGCCGCCCAGCGTGAAATGGATTCGTCCACCATCCGTGCAGTTGTTGCACGTGTTCAGCCTGCCTTCCGGGCGCTGAGTTGAAGGAAGTCCTAAGTTGAAGGAGCCGCCTTCCATCCTCGCAGCTATTGCAAGCTGTCCTCTTCGCTGGTGGTTTTGGCCAGTGCCAGGAGCAGAGGCGAGATCAGAAGGAAGTGAGGACGTCCGTGACGTCATTTGCGCGGCGTTGAGGCGAGATCCCCAATTTGAAAAGGAGCCGACCTCCATCCTTGTAATTGCTACGAGCTGTTATGTGCATCTCATTTTGCCCCCCCTCCATCCGCGTAATCATTTCAACCTTCCAGGACGCATTTGCGCGGCGATAAGGCGAGAGCTCCACTGTCCCCAAACAGTGTCTGCTCTTCCGGGTTGTGGCTTGCGTTTCTAAGGAACTGGATGGGTGCCCCGAGGACTCGCCACGTTCCGGCTTGTTGCCGTCCCGTTGCCGCCCGTGGCCGCCTGTGTGGGTGCCCCGGGGATTCGCAACGTTCTGGCACGTCGCCGCCCGCTGCCGCCCTTGGGGGTGTCCTGGGGATTCGCCACGTCCCCCCGGCCCGTTGCCGCCCGTGGGGGGTGTCTCAAGGATTCGACATGTTCTGACCCGTTGCCTCCCGTTTCCAGCCGCTGCTGCCTACGGGGTGTCCCGAGGATGCGTACTCGCTCCTCGAAACATGACCGCAGAGATGCCTGTGCGTCACATTGCTTGTACACATCCACAGTGCCATAACTTGTTGTTAGGGTCCACGCTGGCAAACAGTAGAAATGAGCCGCCCTCCAGACGTGTACGTGTCATAAGCGCTTAAAACGAATGAGCGTGGCGCCAGGGCGAGGCTCCGTTTTGAAAACCACCAGCCCTCCATCCTTGCCACTATGCGGTGCAAGCTTTTTGGGACGAATGTGCGCGGCGCTAAAGAGAGAGTCCCGTTTCGAAAAGAAACTGCACTCCATCCTCACAACCGCTGCAGGTTTTTATGGGCGAGTGTGCGCGGCACGAGTGTGAGTGCTCCGACTTGAAAATGAAGCGCCGTCTGGTCGTGTCACTGCTGCACGCTTTGAAGACGAGTGCGCGCGGCGCTATGGCCTCTGATCCCCATTTTGGAATCACCCGCCCATCCTTCCTTGTGGTTGTTGCAGGCATGCAAGACGATTGTGTGCGGCGCTACAGCGGGAGCCCCGTTTTGAAAATTACCCCACCAAGTCTGGTATTTGTTGAAGATGTCAAGCTTCGGGATCAGAAGTGGTGGGGAAGTCTCAGCCGAAACGGCGGACCCGCCCTGCCAGCACGTCCAGGCAATTCGGTTGTTGATGGATCTTGGCATCTTGGGCCCTTGAGCCCTCTTGGGCGTCCCTGGGGGCCTCTTGAGCCGTCCAGAGGCCATCCAGAGCCGTCTATGGGTATTCTTGGGCCGTCACGCCACCGTCTTAAGCCCAGCAGGGGCCATCTGGGGCCGTCTTGAGGCCATCTTGAGGCCTTCCTGGCCCGTCCCGGGCACATCTTGAGGCCTTCTAGGGCCGTCTTGGTTGCCGTCCTGAGCATCAAGCCTGGTTCTTGCATGGGCTGGTGCAGCTCGCGAGCCCTTTCCCCCTCAAGCTTCGCGAGTTCATCAGTCAGCAGGCAGTTGTGGCAACTACCTTCCAATCGTCCTGCACGGTACGGGCAGGGGGCCCGCCGTATTGAGCCTGCAAAGCGGGAGCAACGGCGCCCCACCATCAGGAAATCAGCCTGCACATTTCACGACCATGGAGACAGAGGGGGGAAAGGAGGAGGAGGAGGAGGACGACGACGACAAGCAGAAAGTTGCATGTTAGCATGTAGTACGGCCGCTTAGGTCCTTTTTGGCCTCGTAGGGACATCGTGGGTGCCTCTGAGGCTGCTTGGGGGGCCTCTCAGGAGCCTCTCAGGGCCTTTTCGGTACCTCTCGGGGGCCTCCGGGGCACGCTTGGGGCCGCTTGACGGCTTGTAGGATGCCTTAGGGCGCTGGCGGCTGTCTCAGGGGTCCGTCTGGGCCGTCTCGGGGCGCCCTGGGGCCGCCTTGAGGCCCTCTTTGGGTCGCATTGGGGTGCTCTTTGGTGCTCTTGGGGCCGTTTGGGGGCCCTCTTGGGTTTCTCTTGGAGCTCTTTAGGGCAATTTTAGAACCATCTTAAGGCATCAGAGGCCCATCGGAAGCGGACAGGCGAGAAGGCAACACATGTTGATCCCCCGCAGATGTTCAATTTTTGTTGCATCCCGGGGGCCTCCTTGGGATGGCCTGTGGCCATCTAGAGCCTTCTTGGAGCGGTGTTCGGAATGTTTGGGCCACATTGGGAGCTATCTTGAGCTGTCTTGACCTGTCTTGTGTCATCTTTGATAGACTGTTGGAGCATACTGGTCCAGCAGATTTGGCCTTCTTTGGTCGCCTTGGGGGCGTCTTGGCCGTCTTTGACGGGCTCCTGCACTCGCACGCGGTCTTGCTGCAGAAACCGTTCCTGGCGCAAATCCCCCGCCACTTGTGCCCGACAGTCCAGGGCTTGGCAGGGCTTTTCTTTTTTTCAGCTCTCATGTGAAAACGGCATCCTGTTCCAGACACAGGTATGCCTTGTTAGCGAAAGAGGCGTCCATACCTCAAAGGTGCAAGGTCTGGTGCGGCTCGCGAGCCCCTTTCGATCCATACGAGCTAGCTAATAAGCTAGTAAGCCATTCAGGCACTCACCCTCCAATGCTCCTACACGACACGGAGCCCAGATGAAGGCTGCCGTATTTTTGGCGCTTCGCACATCCCCACCAGCCCATCCAGAAACGATCGCCAGGCGAGTTGCCCTAATCAGGGGAGTGTAGGAGTATCCAGTTGAACAGGTAGGTGAGTCAGCCGTCAAGCCCAAGCTCGGAATCAACCTGATGATGATCAGTAGCGAAACTGCTGAGCCGACCATCGAAGAAGGAGAAGGAGGATGCGGAGGAAAATATGAAAGAAGAAGAGGATCAGGGAGAAGGGTGAAGAGGGAGATGGGAGGTGGAGGAAGAGCAAGAGCAGGAGCAGGATCGAGAAGAAAGGGTACGACGGGGACATTTAGCGACGACGTGGAGGATGAGAAGGCGGAGGAGGAGGACGACGGCAGGAGTCAACCATGACGACCTTCGCAGAGCTTTCGCGTCCTGCCTCTTGGAGCCCCTTTCGAGCCGTCCGAGGAGAGGGGCCCCTCAACTGCGACTGGGAGCGCTGGCGGAGCGTGTCGCGCCACCGCTTCTGGCCCACCACGCTTTGGCTCGACACGCTGAGCGCGTCCCGGTCCCCGAGCAGGATGGTTCCGAGCGTGTCCCACGCTCCGCCTCGCGGAGCGCAGCGACACGCTGTCGGCTTGCCAGGCGCAGCGTGCCGCAGGGGCCGCCGTCGCGGAACGCTACGCAAAAGTTCCTGGCCGTGGGGCTGCCCCTCTTGAGCTTGACGCATCGCCTCTCGGGACGCCCTTGGCCGTCCTGGACCTCTACCGGGTCCCTCTCGGGGACCTCTTTGGCGATTCGCTGGCCATCATGAAGACTCGGGGGCCCCTCTGAAGCAAAAGGGCGAGAGGGCAGAACATTTTGGCTTCTCTGGCGCTTACTTGGGAGGCTCTGTGGGCACTCGGAGCCGTTTAGGGTGGGTCTTGTAGCTTCTTGGATGCACCGTGGAGGCCATATTGACCCATCCTGGACTCTGATGCTATCCTGGAGCATCCTGGACTCCCGTATGACATCCTGGAGGTCAGCTGTGGATACCTGAGGTCATCTTGGAGCAAACTTGGGCCAAACATGGCCCTCTGACACCTCGCGGGGCGGTCCGTCCAGGCCCATGGGGTGGGGGCAGGGGGAGTTGTAAACCATTTTCCAAATGGACAGAAGGTAGTTGGAAGAGGAAGGGTTTTGCAATAGGCGCGTAATATAAGGAACGAACCTGTCAGCAGGTACCCCACGGAAGTTTCCTTTCTCCCAGTGTCCCTGGGGACCCACAGAAGACATGAGACATCTTAGAAAGTCGATGTATCGATAGAAGATGTTCCCTTAGATTTCTGGTAGCGAAATTTGTCGTTGTATGCACTTACTGTCGACCATCCCCAGTCCGAGGGCCTGTGGGATTATTCTTCGTTTTCCTCCGCTACGAGGTGCACGGCTGCATCCCTCCCTCCTCTTCCGCCAGCGACGCCTTCGCCCGCGGGTCGGCCCAGGCAGCCCCAGGGAGTTTGCAAGTTGAGTGTCGGGTCTCTCATGCAATCTTTTTATTTCAGGTGTTGTCCGTCGCCATTCCAGCTCAAGACTTCTTTCCATAGGCCCATGCCCCGCCATGTCCGAGACTGCGGGGTTCAGGTCCGTGGCTGACGTCCATGGCGGGGCTCATAGTCGACGCGATTCGCACGCTGGACAAGGATAACACGGGCTTAATTCCTCTGAAGCTGTTGACCGATGTGATTCAGCATTTGGACCCTTCGTGGGACGAAGAGAAGCTAGAGCTCCTGACAACTGCCGCAGGACTCCTGTCCGAAGGGGGCGACGTGCAATACGCAGAGTTCGTGGCGTGGGTTCTCAGCTGCAAGAATAGCGCTTTGCTGAAGCCGACGCCTCTCAGCGTCCCCGTCCGGAGGCGTACCAAGAGCATTGCGCGGTCAGACTTGAGAGATTTGCGCAAACCACCCAGTTCCATAACTCTTCGCGTTCTGCACATCAATGACGTCTATGACCTCACACCGCTACCTCGGGTTCGTTCCGCAATTCAGAGTCTGGGATCGTCGCCGTCTTTGAGCAAGACCATCGCCACCATGGGGGGTGACTTCCTGGCTCCATACCTGTTGTCGAACTTGGACAAAGGCGCTGGCATGGTGGACTGCATGAACGGCATCCCTATCTCGCACTGCTGCTTCGGGAACCACGAGTGTGACGTTCCCCACAGCTCGCTCCTCGAGGCAATCGATACCTTCACGGGCTCATGGATCAACAGCAACATGAAAGGCGGTGGCTTTGGCGAGATCGAGCGCCTGCCAACCCATGAAGTGCTGGAGCTTGTCTCCCAGGACGGTCAGCACCGCCGGCGGGTTGCGCTGCTGGGGCTCGTCACTGGCGAGCCCCACCTCTATCGCCACGGCTCCTTCAACGGGGCGGTGCCGTCTATCGAGTCTGTGAATGATTGTTGCGCCCGGCTCTGCGCTGAGCTCACTGGCGCCGGCGGCTGCGACGCCGTGATCCCGATGACCCACCAGGACTCCTCCGACGACATCGCCCTCGCTGCGCGGGGCAGAGAGCTGCGTGTCCCGCTCATCCTGGGCGGGCACGACCATCTTGAGGTGGTGGCCCCCGCGCCCAGCGAGGAGGCATGCACCTACATGAAGGCTGGGATGGACGCGGTCAAGATCGGCCTGGCTGACATCACGTGGGACTCCGCCGATGCGCGGTGGCCGACGGTGGAGGCCAGGCTGCTGGACACCATGGACTTCGAGCTGGACGCGGGATTGCAGAAGGTCGTGGAGAAGCACATGGCCAAGGTCTGGGCGATGGAGCACATGGTCGCCTGCCGCAGGCCAGACATGGAGGCTTTGACCCCACCCAGTACGGCATTCCCGCTGAGCAGCGTCGGGACGCGACAGGGAGAGAGCTCTATGGCCACTTTCCTGTGCTCCGCCTTGAGGGAGGCGCTGGCCTGCGACGTAGCCCTGCTCGACGGCGGTAGCGTCAGAGCAGGCACCAACAAGTACATGGACAGGGTCACCATGAGCGACCTCAAGGCAGAGCTCCCGTTCAAGAACGATACCCTCGTGATCCAGCTGCCGGGGGCGGTGCTTGCGGAGGCCGTGCGCGCCAGCCGGCTCAAGGCTGCGGAGAAGCCCTACGCGTTCTTCCTTCACTGCGACAAGGACTGCGCCGTGGACCCCGGCACGCACGCGCTGCTGTCCGCGGCAGGGTCGCCCTTCGATCCGGACCGCGTCTACGCAACCGCGGTAGGGGTTGACCTCGGGATCGGCGCAGGAGTGAACGAGCCCCTCCTGGAGTGGGCGGAGGCGAATTCCAGCCAGTTGCCCGATAGGGAATTAGCGCGGCCCGCCCTCGAGTTGCTCGAGGTATACTTTGTGCTGCAATTGTGGAAGCACCTGCCGAGCTTTGACGAGATAGACTTGCGTGGCGATGGCTTTTTGCACCACGACGAGATCGAGCAGGCGTATTTGAGGGTGTTCATGAGTGACGTGGAGGACCTCTCGGAGGCGCAGAGGCTGGCAGCGAAGTCCATGGTCGATCACCTCATCAGGTCTCTTGACGTGGCAAAAGACAACAAGGTCAGTCGGGAGGAGTACGCTGCCTTGCTGGCCCACAGGCCCACGGTGCAAGTGTGTTGAGCCCCGCGCTAGGGACGTGTTGCCCATCCGCTTGCCCTCATCTTCGGCCGTCCACGTCTCTAGACCTCTGGCACGGTGTGCTAGGCGTAGGCGCTGGCGCCCTATCGTTTGCTGCGGACGCCAGCGGGGTTCTTCCACCGAGAGTGCCGACGTTCGGATGCGTTCCAGCGCTGCCGCGCGCGGGTGATCGTGGGCAGAGCAGCCGCCCAAGGTGCTGTCTCGTGCGGGAACCGAGCTCTACAATACACATGTCACCAGACCTAAGAGCGGCCTCGTCATCGAGGCCGAATCGCGCACCGCCCTCCCTCGGCGGAAGTCTGCGAAAGGGCCAGCGGAACTGCAGAAGCTGGCGGAAGCAACATGTGCTTTCGCTGTGAAGTCGAGGGCCATTCAGTGCGGCTCATACCTTGGACCAGCCACGTGGCTACCTTTTTGAGGTTGGGGGTGAGTGTACTTTGTGTGGGAGCACAGCGGTGGCGGAATCGCGGGAAGGTCCCAGTCTTCGACGGACTCGATTCGGTCGAGTCGCTGGCCCCTGGAGCTCTCGACCTTCTCTCAGGGACCGGCTTCTCACCCCGAGACTATGATTTGCGCCCCCCCAATCCCTTGGGACCTCGCGAGCTGGGCCCCGATCGGTGGTGTGTTGCTGCCCCCAGGCCCCCATGTCACCGCATTTCATGTCCTGCTCGGAGCAGGGATGAGGAGGAGGAGGAGGAGGAGGAGGAGGAGGAGGAGGAGGAGGAGGAGGAGGAGGAGGAAGAGCGCTCGGCGGCCGCACGCCCAACGAGCCAGAAGAGGCTTGAACCAAGGAGGAGGAGGCTGGGGGCGATGGGGAGGAGGAGGAGCGAATCGCGGACACACGTCGTCGAACGCGAGAAGGGAGAGAAGGAGGATGAGGAACGACAGGAGCGAGGAGGGGGGGAGCGGGAGAGGGGAGGGGAAGTCGTCGTCGAACGGTAGCATGAGTACGGTGGGGGCGTTGGTTGAGGAATCTGCCCAGGATGCTTCAGACCCAGGAGGGTTCCTTGTCTGATCAGGGCGGCGGTAACATCCATGGCCACGCCTCAACTGGTGTTCCACTGGCTTTCAGACCCTGGATTCCTTCTGCAAGGGTCCTTATCCAATGCCCTCACCGTATGAAGCTGTGCTTCACCAGCCACACCGATCGAAGATCGACAGACGCGGGCGGCGTGGCGAACACATCTCATCATAATCGCTATTTCGCAAGAGTCACCAAACAGAGTGCTACCACATAAAGGCGAGGGAGGCTCGAACCCCCGATCGGCTAGCGCCAGCCCAGGCGAAGAGGGGACGCTGGAGCGAACAGGGGCCAGCGAGGAGCACACTGACCCAGCACATGAACCATCAGGAGATCTAGCTGCATGGATTGTGACACATTGGGAGAGAGGGAGAGAGAGAGAGAGAGTAAGAGAGAGTAAGAGAGAGAAAGTAAGAGAGAGAGAGAGAGACAAGAAGAATGGGCGAAACCCTATCACCACGACGGGCAGGTCCCCTGCGCAGGCGGGATCTCCTTGAAGGGGACCGCCACCACCCACACGCACGAGCAGCCCATGAGCACTGACACGCATTAGACACCACGCATTGCAATACGAGGGACGCTGACGCCGGAGGGAGGAAGGCAGAAGCCCGACCCTTACCCACCAACGCACGGCGAACTTGAACAGTACGTCGAAGTCGCCCGCCGGCCGAGGATGCACAACTTGACATCGGTCTCTGCGGGTACGCTTCCAGCGCGGCACTTGGAACCTGCGATAAAGGTTAGCCGAGAACCGTGGCGCTGCTGCAGCAGAGACCGAATGCGCCAAAAGAGATGACGCCGATGAGCGCATGACCAGAGCAGCAGGCACACCAGGGCGCAGGGGGCCTTCAACGATGCACTGCGGCCAGAGCAGCGGCAGCAGACCCAGCAGAATCGCATGAGGAGACGTGGAAGGCGGCAGCGGCGGTGCTGGTGACGACGAGGCACCAAGAGCAGCGGCCAGTTAAACTCTGGGCCCCAGTGTGGCCTCCTGTCGGGAGGGCTCAGCGGCGGCAGACGAGGCAGCGTCAGCGACAATCAGAGCGCCCACGCTAACGCCGACAGAAAGGAGAGGAGCTAGCTGATACCATGAGGGCGCATATTGGCGGCGACTGCAGCGGCTGCAGCAGGCTGCGGCAACCTGCACATCTGGGGCTGGATGGCGCCGAAGCAGCTATGCATCGGCAGCAGCACTATCAAGCGTCCGTGTGTGTGGGTGCGTGTGCATGCACTGTCGCGGCCCGCCGCCTCCCCGGCCGCCGCGGCCTCTGCTTCACCGTGAGGGGCCACCTTTTCCTTGCGACGCCACGGCGATGCGCCTGGCCACGTAAAGCAGGACGTGTGTACGCGCATGCCACGCCACCGCGCGAGTGGCCGCGACCCAACAACACAGTATATGCGTATGTGTTTGTGTGCTTGTGTGCTTGTGGGTTTGTGTCTTCGTATGTGTTATTTGTGTGGTTGTGTGTATGTTTTTGTGAGTGTGTGTGTGTGTTTGTGTGTGTTTGTGTGTGTGTTTGTTGAACATTATTAATTCTAAAGAATAATTATTGTTGGGACCCCTGGTGCGCGCCCCCCCCGCCGCGCCTAGGCCGCAGCTACATTTTCATCATTTTCGTGAGGAAGCCTCAGGTAATACGATGTCATCAAGATCCGGTTGTTTTGTTGTAATCCGTTTTCCCTTGCAAAAAACACTATAAAATGACATTTCTTGTTCTAATATAATCAAATTTCAAGAATCCCTTGCAAAAAATAAGGTAAAGTGGACATTCGCGCGCGCAAGACGAAATCCTTCCAAAAGCTTAGTGTTCGGAGCGATTTTAACATAAAAACATCAAAAAACCAATGGTTTTTCAACAAAAAAATGTCAAAATCTCATCCCGCGCGCTCTTGCGGATTCGTAGGAAACCCAACACTTTTTAAACATTTCTGTCAAACGGGCTTTTGCGAGCAACTTTTTCGAACTTCTGCGACAACGGTTGCGCACCTGCCAGGGCCATCATCCCTGTCAAATAATACCATGCGGGACACATTCGTTTTTTCTTCGCGCGCGCACGCCGAAATCTCCAAAAACCATTGGGCTTCTTAAGAATTTTAGCACCGCGCATCATAAAATCACACGAATCGCACCGTGGGTTAACAACTTCTGTGGGTTAACAAGGCTTAACAACTTCTGTGGGTGTACGAACGTAGGCTTAACAACTTCTGTGGGTGTGTACTCCACGCCAGTGTAGTAGCCACGGTCGTCCGCAGGCCACGAAGTGAAGTGTCCGAACGTCATAGGGCGGGAAGCTGGGTGTGGGTGGTGGCGAAGAGTCGTGTGGATATTTGGTAGAGCTTGCACTGCCCCCCCACAAAGTGGGGGTATTGGCTGGCGTCGCATGAAAACCCTGGCACTGGTGAGAACACTGAGCGTTCGGGTAAAGTGATTGTTGTTGTTGTTGTTGTTGTTGTTGGTGTTGGTGTTGGTGCTGTTGTTGTTGTTGCTGTTGTTGTTGTTGTTGTTGTTGTTGTTGTTGATGTTGTTAATGTTGTTGGATTCTCACTACTGAAGAACAATTCGTGTTGATCCCCCCTCCTGTGCACGTTGCATGTTTCAATTCTTTACGCTTCGCGTATCCCCACCAGCCCATCTCACAGCAGCAACTCTTGCGAAGCATGCCGACAGTCGTGTTTTTCAGGCGTGTGTCCGCTTGGCCCCGCATATCTCCCCTGTTCCTCCTTCCTCCCGCCTCCTTGTACATCCTCCTTGTGGGGGGAGCGGGAGAAGGACGAGGCGGAGGAGGAGGGAGAGAAAGCGCTCCTCGTGATTTGAGTCGTTTGGGGTTTCTCGTCCTGGTGTGAGTCGTTCGGGCCCTTCTTCCTGGTGTGAGTCGTTCGGGCTCTTCGTGGTGTGAGTCGTTCGGGCTCTTCGTCCTGGTGTGAGTCGTTCGGGCTTCTCGTGGTGTGAGTTGTTCGGGCCCCTCATCCTGGTGTGAGTCGTTCGGGCCCCTCCTCCTGGTGTGACTCGTTCGGGCTCCTCGTGGTGTGAGTCGTTCGGGGCCCGCGTCGTGGTGTGAGTCGTTCGGGCTCCTCGTGGTGTGAGTCGTTCGGGCGCCTCGTCCTGGTGTGAGTCGTTCGGGCCCCTCCTTGTGGTGTGAGTCGTTCGGGCTCTTCGTGGTGTGAGTCGTTCGGGCCCCTCGTCCTGGTGTGAGTCGTTCGGGCTCCTCGTGGGGCCTCTTGGGGGCCTCTTGGAGCCTCTTGGGGCCTCTTGGGGGCCTCTTGGGGGCCTCTTGGGGGCCTCGTGGGGCTGGGGGCTGGGGGCCTCTGGGGGCCTCTTGGGGGCCTCTTGGGGGCCTCTTGGGGGCCTCTTGGGGCCTCTTGGGGGCCTCTTGGGGGCCTCTTGGAGGCCTCTTGGGAGGCTCCTGGGGGCCTCTGGGGGCCATCTTGGGGCCTCTTGCGACCTCCTCAGAAGCGCAAATGAGCGCTGCCCCCTGAGAAGGACAAACTGAGCCCAAAACCTTCGTAAAATCAATGATTTTGCTATGAAGGAAGAGGAGCGCTGCCCCCTCAGGAGGCCAAAATGGGGTCAAAACCGTAGTAAAATCAATGATTCTGGCTTCAAAGAAGAGGAGAGGGGCCAAACTGGGTCCCCCCGTCGGGGCCAGAATCCTCGTGAGGGTCGTCGTTTTTGGGCCCTCCCAGGAGTCGAAAAAGACCCCCTGACACCGCTCGGGACTCCCTCTCCAGGTCCAGGGGGAGGGGGTAGGGTGAGGGGTAAACCCTTCCCCGAAGGGGAAGAAGGGGGGTTGAGGACAGAGAGAGCTCTCTAAACTATTCACGCTTAAAGGGCTGGTGGGATTGAAGTATCGCTCCCGGCGCTCCCACCCTTTTTTGTATCAGGGAAAGTCTTCGTCTTTAAACTGTGTTGCTGGCCCCGGGTTGCAACAACAACGACTCCCGCCTGAGACTTCCCCACAATTTAGCCAGAACCCCCGCTCCTGCCCGACATGTTGGTCAGGAATCTCGCTCTCGCTTGGGACCTCCTTACGATTTTTCAGGAATCGCTCTCTCGGCGCTCTGGAGTGGCGCTCTCGCTGGAGAATTGCTTGCAATTTACTCAAGAATAGCGCCCTTGCGTTGGAATTTCCCGCAATTTACTCAAGCGCCGCTCTCTCGACACTCAGGCACCCAGGAGTCGCACTCACGCTTAGGACTCCCGCACAGATTACTTATGAATCGGGATCTCGCTGCCCTTCGTGGCCCCGTTGCAGCCCTTCGTGGTCCCCTCGCTGCTCTTCGTGGACCCGTTGCAGCCCTTCGTGGCTCCCTCGCTGCCCTTCGTGGCCCCGTTGCGCCCCATTCGTGGCCCCCTCGCTGCCCTTCGTGGCCCCGTTGATGCCCTTCGTGGCCACCTCGCTTTGTTTCGTGGCTCCGTTGCAGCCCTTCGTGGCCCCGTCGCTGCCATTCGTGGCCCCGTTGCAGTCCTTCGTGGCCCCCTCGCTGCCCTTCGTGGCCCCGTTGCTCCCCATTCGTGGCCCCCTCGCTGCCCTTCGTGGCCCCGTTGCAGCCCTTCGTGGCCCCCTCGCTGACATTCGTGGCCCAGTTGCAGCCCCTCGTGGCACCCTCGCTGCCATTCGCGGCCACGTCGCCGCCTTTTGTGGCCCCCTGGCTTCCATTCGTGGCCCCGTTACAGCCCTTCGTGGCCCCCTCGTGGCCCCCTCGCTGCCATTCGTGGCCACGTCGCAGCCCTTTGTGGCCCCCTGGCTGCCATTCGCGGCCCCGTTAAAGCCCTTCGTGGCCCCCTCGCTGCCCTTCGTGGCCCTCGCTCGTCCGCGCCCGTCGTGGCCCCATATGCATGCCCTTCGTGGCCCCGCTGTCGCCCTTCGTGGCCCTCTCGCTGCCCTTCGTGGCCCCGTTGCTGCCCTCAGTGGCCCCGTCCTTGCCCTCCGCGGCCCACTGTACGTATGCCCTTCGTGGCCCCGCTGTCGCCCTTTGTGGCCCCCTCGCTGTCCTACGTGGCCCAGTTGCTACCCTCAGTGGCTCCATCGTTGCCTTTTGTGGCCCCGCATGATCCGCCCTTCGTGGCCCCCGGTCGTTCGCGCTCTTCGTGGCCCCGTACGCATTCCCTTCGTGTCCCCGTTGTCGCCCTTCGAGGCCTACTTCGTGCCCTTCATGGCCTTGCTGTCGTTCTCTCTCTTGCTCTCGCTTTCGCTCGTCGTCGTCGTCGTCGCCGTTGTCGTCGTCGACGTCGTCGTCGTCGTCGTGGTCGGTCCCCTGTCCGTCCCTCTAGGGGTCGGGTTGCCGCCGATCAGCGCTGCCGCTGGCCAGGCCGACGGTCCGCGGCCGCCCCGCCGCTTGCCAGGGCCCAGCCTGCAGTGAAGAAAGGTCTACGCCCTCAAAGGGGCACGATCGAAGACGAAGAGTGTGGGTATCGAAGGTTTGGGATTAACGGACACTCGAGCAGATATGAGCGAACAGTTTTAACATGATTGTTGTTGTTGTTGGTGTTGTTGTTGTTGGTTGGTGGTGGTGGTGGTGTTGTTGTGGTGGTGGTGGTTGTTGGTGGTGGTGATGGTGTGTGTGTGTGTGTGTCTGTGTGAGCGCGTGTTTGTGCGTTTGCCTTAGAGGCAAATGCCATGCAACTCGACTTGCCTGGGCTCGGGGCGCGCAGAGTTCTGCCGGCATCCGCGCGTAGCTGCGCCCGAGGAGTCCCCCGTCGCACAGGACACCTCCGCCGCCGGCGACGCCGTCTTCGCGGAGGCGCCCTCCCCGCGCGGGGCGGCCTGCAGGGCGGTTTGAGTCTTCGAGGTCAGGGTGCCTGTCCACCCCGTGGCTCCCGCCCTGCACAGATCAGGGGCAACGTCAGGCGGGAAGTAACACTCATAGGGGATGACGCGTCGACCCCCAGTCGCCCGTTCGTCGCCGATGGGGGTCTGATAGCCCCCCCCCCCGCCCGGGAACGTGCAGTTCTGCTATCGGGGGCCGAACGCCGATTTATCGGCGGTGTATCGCCGATTCAAGCTCGATGTTTCCCACCCCCGTGAGCTAGGTCTCCCCCTAAGGTTGACGTCGATCTTCTTGAGCCCGCAGAGCGGGAGTCACGGCGGTCTCCAAGGGGAAACGAGCACGCAGATCTCGCAACCAGTGGGTGTTCAGGAGTACGGCTTCGGCGAGGCTCGGCACCAACTTGTGTAATTGTTCTCTTGGCTCTTGGGGTCAGATTGGCTCCACCTGGGGGGGGGTCGTCTTGGCGTCCCTTGAGGAGTGTGGGTGCCGTTTTGCAATGACGGTGCCAATTGTTGCAATGTGCTGCTTCTCGAGGGGCCTCCGCGAGGCCATTTTGGAGCCTCCTGTGAATTTCTTGGGCGCGTGTGAGCCTCTCGGGGGGACCCTCTAGGGGCCGACTGAGGGCCACCATTGGCCACGAAGTGCGTGAGGGGTGTGCTGACATGATGCTCCCTCGCGCCATGCTGACGGGGGGTTCATTGGGCACGAAGTGCGTGAAGGGTGTACCGAAATTCGGCCACCTCTCAGCCGAGTTGCGGGCCAACTAGAGTCCTTTGGAGGTCTATGGGTCACACATTGTGTCAGGGGTTCGCCAAATTGAGGGTCCCTGGAGCCGTCTGGAAGAGCCAGCTAGGCGCCTTTGCAGGTCCATGCGCCACCCAGACCTAGTATTTCACCGTCATCTTTTTCCGTCGTCTACCCCATCATGGTATCCCGCTCCTTACTGTCTTCCCCGTCCTCATCTTATTCCTCGTTGTCCCTCGCTTCCTTCCTATTTTCCCCTCTCGCTCTCTCTAGCCTCTTCTTCGTCTTCTTCTTCTTCTTCTTCTTATTATCATTATTATTATTCTTATCATTGTTCTTACTTAGCATCCCGCAGTTGCGGAGAAGAGTGAGGGAGCAGCGGGGACATCGGCTGTCTGCGAGGCTCCGAAGAAGACTGCCGCAGGCGCCTAGTTTGTACAAATTATACAACGAGCCCGCCGCAGGCACCGATTTTTTCGTCGAAGCAATGTGGTCGGGTCGCGGGTGGGTCGCAGGTGGGTGGGTCGCGAGTGGGTCGCGGATGTGTCTCGGGTGGGTCGCAAGTGGGTAGCGGGGTGGGTCCCGGTGGGGAGGGTCGCGGGTGGGTCGCGGGTGGGTCGCAGGAGGGTCGCGGGTGGGTCGCGGGTGGGTCGCGGGCAGGGTCGCGGGTGGGTTGTGTGTGGGTCGCGGGCCAGGTCGCGGGTGGGTCGCGGGTGGGTCGCGAGTGGGTCGTTGGTGAGTCAAGGGCCAGGTCGCGGGCCGTGTTGCGGGTGAGTCGCGGGTGGGACGACGACACCAACAATAATCCCTTGCGCGGAGTCTCTCTTCAGCCACGCACCCTGGGACACTGAAAGACCGTTCGGCCCCCTCGATCCGATTATTATTATACGTCCTCTTTGTTATTCCCCAGATGTAAGTCTGGTATTCCTGTTATTCGTGTCATGCCTCCGCCTTCTTGCCGCCCTTTTCCTCCTCCACTCACGCTCAGACCCATTGACACTCAGACGTACTCAGACTAAGACTCACTTATATTTAGATCCACTGGTAGTCAGGCTCGCTCTCGCCAAGACTCGCTCATACTCAGACTCGCACATACTCCGGCTCACTCATGCACACACCACTCTAGCAGGCGTGGCACTTGATGGCCCCAAGGAGGAGCCGCCAAGGGGTAGGACATTTATGTGTTTGCGCCCAGATTCCGGGGATGTCTCAAGCGTTGTGCTTGTTTGTTGGCCCAGACTCTCTCCCTTCTCAGAGCCCCATGCTCATCACGATGTAGCAGGCGTGGCGCTTGAGGGCCCCAAGGAGGAGCCGCTGGGGGGTAGGACAAGTGCATGGTCGCGCCCAGATTACTTGCGCCCAGATCGCGAGGATGTCCAATCGGTTTGACTGTTTGGTGGCTTGGATGTCGGACGTCCTGAGATGTGCATCCTGGAGGCCAGGCGGTGCTCCGGGCCCGACCATTCGGAATTCCTTCCAGCTGTCGCGCCTGGTCGGGAGCGCTTTGAGAGTGCCCGGATCGTCCCGCGCGGCCGCCCGAGGCCCGAGCTACGGTCCGAACGCCTCGCGGCCCCAGTGCGGGAGATTGCCATGCGCCGCCCGACTTCGCTGTCGCCGATTGCACGTCGACGACAGCCGACGACGACCGACGGCAACGACAGAGAGGTCCAAAAAGGGCCCCCCCACTGGCATCCAAGAGGGCCCTCTGGGTGCCACTGTTGGGGGAGACTTCTGGACCTCCCTTGTTAGCCCATGCAAGACTTCCCTGAGGCCTTGAGGTCTTAGGGAAGCCCCGCGGGCTCAAGAAAGGCACTACAGGTGCTCATTCGGACCATCCGAGGTTTCCCTGAGGCGCCGCGAAGACCCCAAGAGGAGTCCAAGAAAGGCCCAAGAGGGCCACAAGACGGCCCCGAGAGGGGTTCAAGAGGGGTACAACAGGGCCCACCGACGACGACGAACACGTCGACATCTGCGACTGCGACGACGACAGCAAGTTCGACGTCGTTGTGACGGCGTTGTGGCTCGAGCCATTCTGGGCGCTGGGATCACGAGAATTCTAGCAACGATTGCGGCTACGATCAACGAGACTTCTAGCAATGAGCTTCTTTGGCGCCCCTTACGGCGTTGACACCGAGGCCGACATTACGTTAACCATGCTTCTCAGCAAGGTGTTGCGGAACATCAGTTGGCCTTGGACGGCGACGGGTAGGTGGACGGCCGCGCACTGTTGACTCGTCCAGCGTTCAAGAAAGATTCGTTCGACGACGTGCAGCGGATGGTAAACATCAGCGTGTCGACCAAGAACGGGCACCGCTTCAACCTCGACTGCGCAGCGGTGACACGACAATGGTCAAACGATGAACCAAAAGGAGGAAGGACGGATCAGTTGGTGGGCTCTGGTGACGACAGCGCTTTGAACGCGAGCAGTGTCCGTTGAAACGTTGTCATGCTTCTTCATTCCTTTTTTGAAGGGTGCGCGCGCGTGTGGTCAACGTGCCGCGAGTCCGAGGGAAAGGAGAGGCAGGGCGTCTAGAATCGGAGCGGCGCAGTGGGACGGAAGCAGCAGCGCCCCGAGCGCCGCGCGAACTGGAAGTGCCAGCTGCCGAACGAGACGCAGATACAGCAACAAATTCGTGACCACGCCAAGAGGGCCGCGGCGGGCCAGCAGCGCAGTTCTGACCAGGGCGGCTGTGGCGCGTTCCATACCGAGCAGAACTTCTGCGGAGCCTGTGACTCGGAGAGCAAGGGCGCGGGCCAGAGGTGCTGCGAGCACTGCGGCCATGCGCTGCGCACGCAGACGCAGACAGTGAGAGCGCCCATGCGGCGCGACGGTTTCTCCTAATGGTGAAATAAGCGTTTTAATGGTGAAATAGAAATCTTAATGGTGAAATAGAATTTCTTAATGGTGAAATAGAATACCTTAATGGTGAAATAAAATACCTTAATGGTGAAATAAAATACCTTAATGGTGAAATAAGATACACCACGTAAACACACCACGCAAACACACCACGCAAAAACACCACGTAAACCGCCGCTCCAGCGGCGCATGCAAACACCACGCAAAAACACCACGTAAACCGCGACCCACCCCACGGCGCTCCGGCGCCGCTCCAGCGGCGCACGCAAACACCACGCAAAAACACCACGCAAAGACTCCCCGCTCCAGCGGCGCACGCAAACACCACGCAAAAACACCACGCCAAGACTCCCCGCTCCAGCGGCGCACGCAAACACCACGCAAAAACACCACGTAAACCGCGACCCGCCCCACGGCGCTCCGGCGCCGCTCCAGCGGCGCACGCAGACACCACGCAAAAACACCACGTAAACCGCGACCCGCCCCACGGCGCTCTGGCGCCGCTCCAGCGGCGCACGCAAACACCACGCAAAAACACCACGTAAACCGCGACCCGCCCCACGGCGTTCCGGCGCCGCTCCAGCGGTGCACGCAAACACAACGCAAAACCACCACGCAAAAACACCACGCAAAAACACCACGTAAACCGCAACCTGCCCCACTGCGCTCCTGGGGTGCTGCAGCGGCGCTGCAGCGGGCTGCAGCGGCGCTCCAGCTGCGCTCCTGCGCCGCTCCAGCGGCGCACGCAAACACCACGCAAAAACACCACGCAAAAACACAACGTAAACCGCGACCCGCCCCACGGCGCCCCTGCGCCGCTCCAGCGGCGCACGCAAACACCACGCAAAAACACCACGCAAAAACACCACGTAAACCACGACCTGCCCCACTGCGCCCCCGCGCCGCTCCAGCGGCGCACGCGAACACAACGCAAAAAAAACACAACGTGAACCGCGGACTGCCCCACGGCGCCCCTGCGCCGCTCCAGTGGCGCACGCAAACACCACGCAAAAACACCACGCGGAAACAAAAAAAACACCACGCAAACCGCGACTTGCCCGACGGCGCTCCGGCGCCGCTCCAGCGGCGCACGCAAACACCACGCAAAGACACCACGTAAACCGCGACCTGCCCCACGGCTCCCCTGCGCCGCTCCAGTGGCGCACGCAAACAACGCAAAAACACAACGCAAAAACACAACGTAAACCGCGACCTGCCCCACTGCGCCCCTGCGCCTCTCCAGTGGCGCACACAAACACCACGCAAAAACACCACGTAAACCGCGACCCGCCCCACGGCGCTCCGGCGCCGCTCCAGCGGCGCACGCGAACACCACGCAAAAACACCACGCAAAAACACCGCGTAAACCGCGACCTGCCCCACGGCGCTCCGGCGCCGCTCCAGCGGCGCACGCAAACACCACGCAAAGACACCACGTAAACCGCGACCTGCCCCACGGCGCTCCCGCGCCGCTCCAGCGGCGCACGCAAACACAACACAAAAACACGACGTAAACCGAGACCTGCCCCACTGCGCCCCCGCGCCGCTCCAGCTGCGCACGCAAACACCACGCAAAACACACACAACGTAAACCGAGACCTAGCGGCGCACGCAAACACAGCGCAGGAGCAAAGAAGGGGTGCAGCCGCTATCTTTGAAAGGAGAAGGAGGAGGAGGAGGAGGAGGAGGAGGAGGAGGAGGAAGGAGGAGGAGGAGGAATGTGTGAGGAGGAGGACATGGAGGACGACGTATAAAACACCACGTAAACTGCGACCTGCCCCACTGCGCTCCAGGGGCGTTGCAGCGGCACTGCAGCGGCGCTCCAGCTGCGCCCCTGGGCGCCCTGGCGCCGCTCCACGCATAGCAAAAAAAAAGCACAACGTGAACCGCGACCTGCCCCACTGCGTCCCCGCGCCGCCACAGCGGTGCACAAAAACACCACGCAAATACACCACGCAAAAACACCACGCAAAAACACCACGCAGAAAAACACGCCGCGTGAACCGCGACCTGCCCCACTGCGTCCCCGCGCCGCCCCAGCGGCGCACAAATACACTACGCAAATACACCACGCAAAAACACCACGCAAAAACACACCACGTGAACCGCGACCTGTCCCACGGCGCTCCGGCGCCGCCACAGCGGTGCAAAAAAACACCACGCAAAAACACCACGCAAAAGCACCACGTGAACCGCGACCTTCCCCACTGCGTCCCCGCGCCGCCCCAGCGGCGCACAAAAACACCACGCAAATAAACCACGCAAAAACACCACGCAGAACAAAAAAACACGCCGCGTGAACCGCGACCTGCCCCACTGCGTCCCCGCGCCGCCCCAGCAGCGCACAAATACACTACGCAAATACACCACGCCAAAACACCACGCAAAAACACACCACGTGAACCGCGACCTGCCCCACTGGCGCCGCCCCAGCGGCGCACAAAAACACCACGCAAACACACCACGCAAAAACACCACGCAAAACCGCTACGTGGTGTTTTTGCGTTGTGTTTTTGCGTGGTGTATTGGCGTGATGTCTAATTCACCCTCCAGCGTCCGCGTGGTGTTTTTGCGTAGTGTTTTTGCGTGGTGTATTTGCGTGGTGTTTTTGCGTGGTGTCTGATTTCACCATTAGGACGAACTCTCATGCGGCGCAGCCATCGCGCCCGCAACCATTGAGGGCACGTCTCCCTCGAGACCCCTCCTGGTCCGCCAGAGCGACGCTTCGCGCCGCCGACCGCCGATCAAATGCGCGACCCGGTTCCTGGTTCGGGCTTGGCCGTCGGGCGCCATGGGCCTTCGCGAGCAGGAGAGGGGAGGGATACGGAGACAATTGTTAGTGTGACCCCTCCCGCTCTTCACTCGCGCTTCGGTTGCCTCGGCGCCTTGGGCTCTTCCATGTTGAGAGCTCCACGATAACAGCGATGTAGCAGGCGTGGCATTCGAGCGCCCCCGTGGGGTGGCCGCCAGGAGATATGGCATTTGCTCGTCCGCGCCCCGACTGCGGTGATGCCTCAGGCGGTTCGCCTGTTTCGGCCCGTCGATTCGGGCTCTTTTGAGAGCCCCGTGATTACCGCGACGTAGCAGGCGTGTCCTGACGCGGGGGTCCACACACAAGTGTGGACCCCCGCGTCGGATACTCTTTCTGTTGGCGATACTCCGCCTCCCTATCCGCATCAATCTGCTCACCATACTGCCAGCTTCCCCCTTGGTTCCTCATCCCCGCGAACGTCTCCCCCCGCGGACCCCCCGTCTCCCGTTTCCTGCCGCTGCCCCTCCCCTCTCCTCCTCCATAACCCCCCTGCTTCTCCTCCTCCATCTCCCCGTCCTCTGCCTCCTCCTCCTCCTCATCCTTCTCCTCCTCCCCCTCCTCCTCGTCTCCCTTTACCCCCCAATCGCTGCTGTCCTTTCCTCAGCCTTCTGCGGCGACGGCGATGCCGCCGCCGGCGACGACGGCGGTGGCCACAGCGACGACGGCGGCCCCGAGGCGTCTCAACTTTTCGCCGACCTGCGTGGGCATGGCCCGCCGCTCCCGCCCCCGCGAGCGAGCGGGCGCGCGCGCGCGCGACGACGACGACGACGACGACGACGACGACGACGACGACGACGACGACGAAAACGACGACGAAAACGACGACGGCGACGACGACGAAAACGCCGACGAAGACGAATCGACGACGACGAAGACGACGACGACGACAATGACGACGACGACGATGATGACGACGACGACGGGCTCGACGGGCTCGACGAGAGTGGCAACCACAACGGCGGCGCCTGGTTAGGCGAGAAGGGCGACGGCGGCGGTAGCGGCGGCAACGACGGAGCTGCGGACGGCGACGACAACGACGACAACGACGACCGCGACGACGGCGACGGCGGCAGAGATGGTCATGTGATCGCTGCATGGGGGCGACGGGATGAAAGGGAGGTACACGGGAGAAGGGGGGGAGAGAAATACGACGATCGCGACTCTCGCCGCTGCTTGCCGCGGCGAGGCGTGCGCAACTTCGAGTTGCTGGTTGTGCTCCTTGTGGCGCCTGGGGCCTCCGTCTGCAGCGGAAGGCCCCCTCATCGAGGGGTCGGGAGGGAGAAATGCAGACCCCGTCGTGTCGTGAAACATTTGGCGTTGCGTAAACAGGGGAACTAGGCCGGTATCGAGGGTTGCAGGAAAAGGGCCCTAAAGGGCTCTCTCTGGGGTACCGAAGGAGCACGAAAGGTGCTCTTTTTGTTCCACTCCCTTCCTTGTCTTTGCGCCCCGATGAAGCAACGCCTGGAAAGAGTTTTCCCGGCGAAGGACCCAACCAGATGCAGTTGTGAGTGCCGCACGGCCGGTGGGACGATCGAGGGGGAACTCTCCATGGGGTCGCGTGGGACGGGCGAACCGCGCGAAGGGTGTGCCAATATGGGGCGGGTACCGCATGCTGGCTGTGGGGAAGACGCATGCGATGACGGCCGCTGTGACCTTCGGTGGAGCTCCTTATGGGGCCACGGAACGTATGAGGGGCGTGCCGACATGGGCGGGGGAGGCGCGCGCGAGGACGGCCGCAGGGACCATCGGTGAAGTTCCCTATGGAGCCATGAAACGTTTAAGGGGTGTGCCGACATTGGTGGGTCGGCGGTGCCGCTGCGAGGTGCGGTTCGGCGCCCCCAGTGCCAGCAGACCAGCGCGCCAACCCAGCAGTCGGCGATTTGGAGGGCGGAGTTCGCAGGCTGAACTTCGACGAGGCCATGCCGCCTGCACTGCCGCCCCCGCCCGCACGGCTTCACTGTCCAGTGGTGGGATGCCCCTGTTCTGACTCGGGGCGGCATCCCAGATGGGCCACTCTCCAAACCTTGTGCCGACACTTACGGACGCCCACCTCAGTAGCCAGCTGGACGGGCATGTCGAGGACGAGTGGCTCCGCCAGCACGGCCGCACTTGGTGCAGGGTGTGCGGCCTGTGCGTGGCTACCGGCAGGGGCGTGCACCCCTCTTGCCGCCCCGCCGACCGTGCTGCCGCGCGGCCTGCAGCCCCGCCCGTGGCAGAGCCTGGAGCCCCGCCGGCCAGCCAAGGCGTTGAGGGACGCCCATTCCTGGACAGCGTTCAGGCGGCGGCCGTGTCTACCCTCCGCCACGTGCCCAAACGAGCCCGGCCAGCTTGGTCTCGAACGTTTCCCCGGTGCCTCGCCAACGTGGTGGTGCACAACTCGGTCTCAGATTGGACCGACCTGCAGAGGCTGCACCCTGCTGCGCCCGCCCTGCCTCTAGGCCGCCTGGGAGAGCTCGTGGCCGCGCCCGAGATCACTCCGAACTCGGTGCTCAAGGCCTTGCGCGGTTTCCCAAAGGGCACGGCTGCCGGCCCCTCCGGCCTGCGGGCGCAACAGTTGCAAGACGCCCTCTCTCCGGCCACGCGGGCGCCCCTGTGCGAGCAGCTCGCGGCCGTCGTCCAGCTCCTGGCCAACGGGGTCGCCCCCCGCCAGCTTGTGCCGCACCTGGCCGGAGCAAGCCTGGTCGCCTTGGAAAAGGAGGACGGGGGGCTCCAACCGATCGCTAATGGCGAGATCCTCCGCCGCTGAACAGACAACGTCCTCTGCGAACACGTGAAGGCCCGCGCCCGCCAGACCCTCTGGCCGCTGCAGACAGGCTGCTGCAGCCCTCTCGGCGCGGAGGCGACGTCTCACACCGTGCGCCAGTGGTGCGAACGGAACGCCAGCGACACCGTCGAGGTGTTGCTCAAGCTGGACTTCGCCAGCGCTTTCAACTCCTTGAAGCGGGAAGCCGTGCTACGGACCGTGCATTTCCGCTGCCCAGAGCTCGAGCGTCGGGCGCGCTGGACCTACGCGGAGCACTCAACCCTGCGCTTCGGCCAACACAGGCTCTCGTCACAGGCGGGCGCCGCGCAGCAAGGGGGCCCTCTGGGGCCGCTCTTCTTCGCCCTGGCCGTGCACGACGTCTTAGAGAAATTGGCTGGCCAGCGAGCCTTGGATCTGCGCGCGTTCTACCTGGGCGACGGCTTCCTGGCGGGCCCCGCGGGCGCCGTGGCGCAAGCGCTGGCTCTACTAGAAGCCTGGTGCCCGGAGCGCGGCTTGGAGTTGAACCTTTGCACGCGCGAGCTCGTTGCCCCGTCTGGGCGTGCCCCCGCAGACCTCGGCGGACTTTCCCCCGCCCCCTCGCCAACGGAGGCTGACACTGGCGTTAGCCGCGTCGCCTTGCGGGGCGGGTTCAAGCTGCTGGGCGCGCCCATCGGCGACCAGCGAGGCTTTCGCGTAGAAGAGAGCCGACAAGGCCAAACCGACCCTGGCGGCGCTCGCTGACCTTCATCCGCAGGTGGGCCTCCTGCTGTACAGCGCCCGCACGGCCCCGCCGGCCCTGCTCTCGGAAGCGCTCGGCAGCTTCGGACCTGACCGACGCGCAGCGGCATAAGGCGGCCTGCGGACTGACTTTTGCAGGCTTAGGCTCGCGGCATTTGGAGGCCCGCGCGCCTGGCGCCTACCTGGCGATCCTGGCTGCGACCCGAGACCTCTGCGCCGCGCTGGGCCCGGCCCACAGGCGGGCGCCAGAGGGCGCGAGCGCGAGGACCGGACAGGAAACCTTCGAGGGCGCCGCGCAGAAGAGCCTCTCTGCTGCTTTGGACGACCACGATCACAAGGCCTTCTGCGCTGGCTTGAGCGAGACAGACCTAGCGGAAATCCAGCCCGAACAGCCCCCCGGCGCAAGCGGCTTCCTGGAGGCGCCGCCGAACGAGATCCTCGGGCTGTTCTTCGAACCAGAGAAGTTCGTGACAGAGGTCAAGCGCCGGCTCCTAGCGCCCGTCTGCGAGTGCGCGCACTATTGCCCGTGCTGCGACGGCGCGCGCGACAGGCACGGCTGCCACTCGGGCCTCTGCGCGGGCGCTGGGGACCGGGTGCTGCGACGCAACGCCGCCCGCAAGCTGGTCGGTTGCTTTGCTTCGTCGGCCGGCTTCAACCCGGAGCTGGAGCGCCCGGGGCTCTTGTCGCCCCGGCCTGGCGACGCTCGGGTCAACGGGCGTCGCCCTGCGGGCGTCTACGTGCCATCTTGGTTCCGAGGGGCACCTGCTGCTTCCGACTTTGCGGTGTCTTTGCCGCGTCGGCAGGCTGCTCTCGGCATGGCTCGGCTCGGCTTAGGGCGCGCGGCCCAAACGCGCGGGGCGACCAAGCGCGAGCACTTCGACACCGAGGCCCAGCGCAGGCGGCAGGAGATGATCGGAGGTTGGGGGTGAGATCGCAGCGAAACGGAGACCCCCCACTGGGAAATTGGTTTCGGTTTCGCGTTCGTGTCGTGCGTGTGGGCGAGGCGAAGCTGCGCGTGATCTCCCTGTAGCTAGGCCGAAGTAGGAGCGAAAGTCCGTTCCCGTCCGCCGGTGGCTGGGAGGTGTCCCAGTTGGGCCGGGCGGTGTCCCTGGTGTCCCGGTTGTCAGAGGGAGCGAAAGTCCGTTTCCCGTCCGCGGGGGGCCGGGAGGTGTCCCAGTTGGGCCGGGCGGTGTCCCGGGTGTCCTGGGTGTCCCGGGCGTCCTGGCGCTAACGCGTGTTGCTAATGTCATAAGTATTTGTTGTCGGCGCCTGCGGCGGGCTCTCTTATCCAATCCAGCATATCTTTTCCAATCCATCTTGCCCAATCCAATCCATCTTATCTTATCCAACCCATCTTGTCCCATCTTTTCCGACCCTACCCAATCCAATCCACCCAGCCCAATCCATCAATTCATTTATTTCTGCGGCTGCGACGGGCCAATCCAATCCATCTTATCTTATCCAATCCACTTCTTCCAATCCAACCCGTCTTATCTGATCCAATCCATCTTATCCCATCCAATCCAATCCACCCAACCCGATCCATCAAATCATTTCTGTCATAGAAAGAGAGAGAGAGAGAGAGAGAGAGAGAGAGAGAGAGAGAGAGAGCGAGAGAGAGAAAAAAAAACAAATACATATAACCATAACTATACATATAAATAAACATGCATACATACATACATACACACATACAACATACAACATACATACATACATACATACATACATACATACATACATACATACATACATATGATCTCAAGGTTACAGGCTGGAGGTCAGTCAGGGTGGGCATTTGATATCATCCCCCCCAAACCTCCTTATCGCCCGCAGGGCGGTCGTATAGGTATAATGTTCGCCCCTCCCGGTGGCGGAACCGTCGGGCGGATAGGGCCCCACAGGCGCGGGCGCCCTCCGCCGCCTGGCTGCCAGGGCCTGGCTCGGTGCAGCGACGGGCGCCTCGGAGAAGAGGCGGGCGCCGGGGCGGCTCGTCTCTTCCAGCAGCTCTCTGTGGCCATCCGCGGGGCCACGGCGCGGGCTGTGTTGCGTAGGCACACAGAGCCCCCCGACTATGGGGGCGCGCTGTCCGCTGCTCTCAGCCCGCTGGTGGTTCTGGGCGACGACGGCGCCTGGCCTTCCTCGTCCCTCTCTTCGGTTTTTCCGCGTCCTTCCTCTTCTGCCCCCCCCTTGCCTCCCTCGTTTTCCCAGAGGCTCGGAGTCGTGATGCTTTGCGGCGCGGTGCCTTGTCCGAGGTAAATCACCCTCCGATGGGCGCCGCGCCCGCGCCGGAGTTTTCGTCAGCTGCCCCTCCTGCCCGGCCATATTTTTTTGTTCGGTGCGTGTTCTTCCCCCCTTCCCCCCCCTTCCTTTTTTCTCCCGCTCCTTGCCTCCCCAGGCGGGCGCGTGCGCGCCTAGCGGTGGGGGTCGGTGGCTCAGGTCCCACGGCCGCGCGCCCGCTTCCTCCGCCGTCCAGTCCCTCCCCCCCTCCACCCTCTTTCCCCCCCTCCAGGGTATCCCCCCTGCAGTTGCACGCTGAGTCATGCGCGCGGCGATCCCAGTCATCATCGCGCCTTTGGACCGTATCGGACGCATGCGGGCGCCGCCGCTTGGGCTTTGGGTGGAGCTCCCTATGGGGCCACGATCCCCGTGAACGGGTGTGCCGAAACAGGTGCGTCGGACGCATGCGGGCGGCGCCCCTGGGACCTTGGGTGGAGCTCTCTATGGGGCCACGATCCTCGTCAGGGGTGTGTCGACGTGTGTTGGTCGGGC